CCCATCCAAGCACACCCACCCACCCCACCGACAGCCAGACACGCCATACCAGCTCACATGTGCTGTCTGTGCTCATGTGGTGTGCAATGCATTGCAATTCAGAAAGTGCCGCGCCACGACCCATTCAAAGGTACCCAACAAACACACCAATCAATCAGCAACATCATGATGTGTATACCGTATGTGTGTGTGTGTGTGTTCAGATTTCCGTCCGTTCCATCTGTCGATGTACGCCAAGCGGCCGCCATGGGAGAAGTTTGAGGAAATCTACAAGGCAGGCCATTGCACTGCACGCCACACATCGAAGCATACACATGATGACCTGCTCTGTGTGTGCGTGTGTCAGGACGACGAGCCGCTTGAAGAGGAGGAAGACCTGCAGGCGCTCGAAGACATCAGAAATGCACTCGATGTGAGGGAAGCGAACGAAGGGTCATGACACGTCCCTTCCTGCATGTGTGTCGACTCCACCTCCTGTCTGCATGTCCGTGTGTGTCTTTCGTCGATCCATCAGGAGAGGGAGACGCTGCACACGGCGGACTTTGACGTGATTGACGACACGGGCGAGCTGAGATCGAGGTCACTCAGCGACATTGCACGAGGTGGGTGCATGAAGATACCGACACCCAAACCCCCATCCATCCATCCATCCAGCCACACGCACACCTGTACGTGTCGGTATGTTGCCGTGTCTTTTTCAGGTTCGTCATCTGCTGATGGGTACCTCTCAGCCCGCCACAGCCGAGACGATGAGGCCGACAATGAGGAGGAAGCCGGCGATGACGAGCAAGAGGCAAGCGACACTCACCATACACACACACACACACACACACGAATGCGTTGGCCGGACCAATGGGTGCATTGCATGTGTCTGTGTGTGTGCAGGGTGACGAAGGCGACCTGGGTGATGAAGGTTTGTCGGGCGATGAGGATGCGGACGAAGACATCGAGGATGCCGCCACGCTGCCACCTATCGACCGGACATAGGCTGGATGGAACCAATCGTGTCTTCTGCATGATCACGCGTGTGTTAAACTTTGTCGTGTTCGTGGATGATACGCGACCCGATGCTGGCTGCGAAGAGCCCGTATGCAGTGCGTGTGTCATAATCGCGTCTGTCACTGTCCTCTCCGGTCTTTCCATGATGTCAACTCGACGGCGAGATTTCGCGATGAGACGGCGACACCACCGATTCACAGAATTTGAGGTCCAGTTTTCACATTTCCGTCCGCGTTTGGCTTCCCAGCCTTCCTTCAGCCACAGATCCTTCATTTCTTTTTCTTTTCGCCTGGTTGTTGGCTTACGCAACACGCCTCATCCCCTTCCATGCCTCCCAGCTCGTCCGGATGCCCTGCGTGTCTTCCTTCCTCCACCGCCGTGCCCCGGGCAAGGCGACAGCAGGTGGCGTCTCGCCTTCTGCCAAGCGACTGCTCCCTGGTGTCAGCAGAGGGCCCGCGCACCTTCCTCCCGCTCCAACGAGACCTCCATCAGGTTGGGATGGAGTGCCAATGGAGTGGTGTTTGGATGATAGGGATGAATGTATGATGTATTTTGTTGCTGTGTGTATGCTCATGTGTCTTCTTTCGTCATGTCTGTCTGCAGGCGAAACGGTCCTTTTCTCGATCTCAGAAGGTTGGCACAAGTGTCGAGACTGCACACTTCAATGTCTTTGTTGGCTGCTGTTCAGACGTGCGACCCCTTAGGAGCCACAGGAAGGAGACGAGCACGAGGAGGAAGGAGAAGAACACGAGGTGGATGGCATGGACGCACTACATATAATGCAATGACATGCACTCACCAACGAGGGAGGGAGGGAGGGTCTTGAAAAGGAGGGGGAAAGCACCTCTCTCTTTCCTCTCTCTCGTTCCCTCTTTCGATTTCTCAAGTGCATGTGGCACGTGCCAGAAACATCGGCTGTTTATGCGCGTATGTGTGCTGAAACTGTTTTCTTCTTCCATCCCGTCTCTTGTCTCGACTTTGCCATGGCTGGCAGAGGGAGGGCACATGTATCTGTATGTGTTTGTGTTTGTGTGTGTCGTGCACGGCCATCCCGCCGCCTGCCAATCGCCGGCCGGCCGGTCGGTCGGCGAGGCGGATCTAGACTGCTGTGTCTTTTCGTGCTATACAGTATTCGCAAGTAAGGCACTCATTGGAGTGATTTCAACGCAGCAAGGGGAGGAGGAGGGGTGAGGGATTCCTGTATGGACAATCGGTCGGCTGCATGTCTGAGGTCCATGGGCATGGCCTTTTTTTTTCCACCAACCGGGCTGCCTGCACGCTCTTTTCGGGGAGGGAAATCACCAACTCTTCTTCTTTTTGTCGCACTTGTCGGTCACTTTTCACTCCACCTCACCCGTGCTTCGTTCGTGTTTGTGTTTTGTGTCTGTCTGTCTGTCTGGTTGGTTGGCTAGCTGGCTGCGTCATGGGACAGTGGGACACCATCGTTGTACGTGGGGACACGGAAGACCTAGACACAACGTCAGGACTTCCGTCTGTATACTACACAGACCAGCCACCACGCACACACACACCGGTATGTGATTCACAGCCAGAAGATATAAAATGTAGGCTGCTGTAGTGAGTGTGCGCTATGGGTGGACGGATGGATGGCTGGATGGATGGGCGAGGGACGTCGCCGGACTGACGTGCATGCGGGACGGAGGGAGACTAGGACTGGCTGTGGCTGGGTGTAATGGATGGATAAATGGCATGACCGCAATACACACGTACGTGGTAGCCAGACCCCGATGGGGTGTGCAGGGATTCTCCTTCGTACGCTGGCTGATTGAATAGCATAGGGCGACCACACACACACACACAGAGTGGGAGAGGGAGGGGGGACAGCGACCAGAAATGACACAACAGGGGAAAAGGGAGAGGGTGACAGGCAGGAGCAGCAAATAAGGGGCAGCCTGCGACTGGTGCTGATGTTGTTGGTGGTGAGATGGGCGGAGGATTGCGAACTGCAATCGCTACCTACATTTTATATCTTCTGGCTGTGAAATTATCGTCATGCTCTTTTGTCTGCGCTTTGTTGACTGAAATTCTTGTGAGAGAGGACGCCGTCGTCGTTTTCCAATCCATCTGTGTCTTCAATCACTGTGTGACAGACACTGTATGATTCGACAGGCTGAGCTCCGACAACACACACAACTTTTGACAGCCACCACACAAACACCCATAAACCACACGACGATGAAGAACAAGAGGCAAGCGACACTCACCATACACACACAGACACGCGAATGCGTTGGCCGGACCAATGGGTGTATTGCCTGTGTGTGTCTGTGTGTGTGCAGGGAGACGAAGGTCTGTCAGGCAATGAGGATCCGGAAGAAGACATAGATGATGCGGACGAAGACATCGAGGATGCCGCCGTCTTGCCACCTGTCGAGAGAACATAAGCTTCCATCGTGTGCTCTGTAGGATTGTCTGCGCGTGTGTGTGTTTGTCGTGTTCGACCTGGTGTGCTTTCTGCGCATAGCCCATATGCGATGCTTGAGTCATCCAGCGATAGCACAGCTGGACAGCACGAACTCGTCTCTCTGTCTGATGGGGTGTGCTATGTCACACGATGACATTGAAAGCCAACACAAATCACATGAAAGCACGGCCTCTGTGTCTCAAGCATGGACCGGAGAAGCTCGCCACAGACAGACCACTGCCGATGAAGGCCGCATCCAATACACTAGTAGACAGTGTGACACCGTAGACAGACAGGCTGTCCCCGAGCCCCATCCACCTAGAGATACGATGCGAGTCCATCAGTCAGGGTCTAAACGATCAGACAGACAACCATCAGGCGAGGGAGGAGAGAACAAACAGACAGACAGACAGACAGACAGCCAGCTTGGGCAGCCAGACAGCCAGACAGACAGACAGACAGAGAGACAGACGGACGCGGACAGACGGACGCGGACAGACGGACGCGGACAGACGGACAGCCACGGCAGGCAGGTAGGCATTGATTCCACGCAATTCGCCCAACCCAATCAATAGATGGATGCACCCACCCAGTGCATGCGATGAGTGAAATGCAGCGCCATGCAGAGGGATGGGATGGCATGCAATGTGGTGTGGTGTGGTGTGGCGTGGTAGTATGTATGGTGTGTGAGCTACCCTGTCTGTCTGTCTGTCTGTCGGTCGGTCGGTCGGTCTGTCTGCCATCGACCCACCCATCCCGTCCGCCCCTATCGAAGCATACGTACCATAGGTGTCACTCAGGCATGCGCCAACAAACCAAGACACACACACGGAGAAATATATCACCACCCGACGGCCCCTGATACACACACAAACACATATAGCGAAGACAGACAGACAGACAGACGGACGGACATGAGTGCATGAAAGGCGACGCTCGACGTGTGCACTTGTCTGACATTGACATACGTACCTGGTATGTGGATCGTCATTTGGCCTTGGCCTTACTCTTAGCCTTGGCCTTGCCTGCAGTCACAAGAAAGACAGAAACACACCACACAAACAAAGGACGCACTCACGTGTGAGGGAGTAGGTCGGTGGCTGGGGGGGTAGGGGCGCACCTTTGGCTTTGGCTTTGGCTTTGGCCTTGCCCTTGGCCGCCGCCTTGGGCTTCTTGGTGCTGGGCTTGCGAACGCTCTGCGCACGCAGGGATACAGGCGGGTCAACACACGACACACACAAAACAGGACAACATAACATAACATGTGCGGTTAAAGGCCCCTGTGGCATGGTGTGGCTGACGTGTGCGTGTCCATGTGTCCGCCCGTACCGCCTTGGCCTTGTTGGCGGCAGCCGTCTTGGGTTTGGCCCCAGCGCGGGTCTTCTTGACAGCCTTCGCTTTGGCCTTGGCAGCAGGGGCAGCCCCAGCCTCAACTCCAGTATCTGACACACACACACACACGCACAGACAGAGAGAGAGAGAGACATGTCTGGGGTGATTGAGGAGGCGGCGTCCGTGTGTGCGTGTGTGGTATGGTGGTGTGTGGTGTGGTATGTGGTTTGTGTGGCGTGGGTACCCTCAGCCGCGGCCTTGGGTTTCTTGGGTGCGGCCTTCTTGGCAGCGCCAACCACGTTCATGTTGAACTTGTACGATGCCTTGATCTGCACACAACACACAACACACCAACACACGCCACACGTCGAGATGCACCCACCACACCATCACACCACACCATTGTCACCTACCCTCCCCCCTGTGGACGCGGTGCATATGTGTGTAAGTTTCTTACCTTGATGAGTTTCTTGGCTTCGGTCATCCGCTTGAGTGAGCTGCTGAGGTGGTACTTGGTGCGTCCGTCCTCGAAGTCGAGGGCGTAGTTGGCCTGGATGAACTTCTTGATGGCAAACAGGCTGCTGCCTGACCGGTCCTTGAGTGTGCCGATGGCCTCCTTGATCATCTCCTCATACGAAGGGTGCTTCGGGGCAGCACGCGCCTCGCCACCACAACACTTGGCCTTGCCCTTCCCCTTCGCCTTGCCCTTCGCCTCCTCCTCAGCTGAATGGTCAAGACAGACACATACAGACGGACATGAGGGTGTCATTCAACGAGTGGGTGGATGCGTTCATGTGTGTAAGTTGTCTCTGACCTGAGGACTTCTGCGCCGCTTTGCGGTGAGGGCGACCACCAGCAGTTGCTGCTGCTGCGGCGGCTGCGGCGGGAGCCTCCTCTGCCTCCTCGGCTTGCTCAGCGGCTGGCGGTGCTTCGGGAGCCTCGGGACTTGGAGCCTCCCCCTCCCCATCCTCAACGCCCTCAGCAGGCTGCTCGACCTGCTCCCCGCCGCCCTCAGCCCCCTCCTCTCCCTCCCCAGCAGCCTCCTGCACGGCCTGCTCGGCGGCTGGCGGTGCCTCGGGAGCCTCGGGAACCTCCTGGCATGGCTCAAGAAGGGGAGGAGCCTGTGGGGGTAGTAGGTGCTCCTCCTCTGGAGGGGCCGCAGGCGCCATCTCTTGGTCCTCGTCCTCCTCTTGAGCAGCAGGGGGCGGTGGTGGTGGCGAAGGTGGTACAGCCATCTCCTCGTCGCCCGCTGGCGGGGCAACAGCAGCAGCGGCAGTGGCCCCGTCAACGGCCACGGCAGGCGGGGCCGTCATCGGTGCGGGGGGCGGCAACTGCGGCTCCTCTGCCTCCGCCTCGGCCATGTCGACGTCGGCTAGTGCGGGCTGCTACTGCTCCTGCTGCTCGGGGATGGCTGGAGGGGGCAGGGGTTGTGGTGCGGGGGCCATGTCCATCTCCTCCTCCATCTCGGCAGCAGCTGCCATCAGATGGCCGAACATGGGCGTCTTGGGCGAGGGCGACTTGTCCTCCTCCTCGCGGTCGTCTCGGTCGCGCCTGTAGTCTCGGTCATCCCCGTCGTAGCGGCGGCGGCGGCGGTCGTACTCGTCGTCATCGTATCGCCGGGGGTAGTCCCTGTCCCTCTCGCCCGAGCGACTGCGGGCACGGTAACGGTCATAGTCACGCCCGCCACGACGGTTCCTGCAGCCAAACACGACACGACCTTGTCACCTTGTGTGTGAGTGTGCGTATGTGTCTGTGTGTGTGTGTGTGGCTAAGCATCTGTCTCACCCATCGCGGTCGTCTCGATCGCGCCTGTAGTCTCGGTCATCCTCGTCGTAGCGGCGGCGGCGGTCGCACTCGTCGTCATCGTATCGCCGGCGGTAGTCCCTGTTCCTCTCGCGCGAGCGACTGCGGGCACGGTAACGGTCACAACCGTACCCATCGCCCTCGCCACTGCCCCGACGCCTCAGGCTGCAGACAGAGCAACAGAGACACAAACACACACACACACACACACGGTGAAGAGGTGTGTGCGTGTCTCTCCCTGTGGCGTGTACGGACGCTCACCCTTTGTCCTTCGAGAGCTTTCGCTGCTTCAGTAATGGAGTGAGTGTGTCTACGGCCGCCGGGTCCTCCTCAGAGGATGGCGAGCGCTGCAGCCGTGGCTGTCCGGATGGTGCTGATCTTGGCGGAATGGCAGCTGCTGCAGCAGCGGCCGGTGCAGGTGGCTGTGGCTGTGTTGTGTCGGTGACGATGTCCCTGTTGATGGGCGTGTGGTTGGCGCCCTGCCTGCTGGCCATGCCGGGTGTGTATGTGGGCGGGGGCGAGGTGGGCAGGGGGGCGAGGGACGGCGAACACGAGAGGCTTCTGGCGCCTCGAGGGACTCAACGCCACCAAGACTGCATCAAGGCATCCAGCAGACGACAGACGAGGACACGAGTGACAGGCCTATCTTCCTTCGCATCTGGCTTGTCTTCTTTTACCCAGCACGATTCAGTATCCCTCCTCTTCCTGAGTCTCCCTCTCTCCCACGCTCGTGTGGCTGCGGACTCCCGACCGCAGACGGACCGCTAGGCGAGTATTCGGGCGGTGGGCGAGACCGCCGCCGTGCGTCACCCCATTCCCATTCCCATTCCTCACCATTCCCATTCCCATTCCCCTCGTTGCCCCGGTCCAGACGACCGATGCCCAGGTCACTCGAGTCACGCGATTTGCCCCAAGGTGAGCTGGTGCGGTCAGCAGGGTGGGTAGTGGGGGGGCGGGAAGGGCTGTGGTCGTCCCTCGAGGCCTCACTGGGTGCAGCTGCGGCAGGGTGTGGCTGAGGGTCGCCACGGCGGAAAAGCTGATAACACAAATACATGGGTGCTCTGGTGGTTGGCGTATCCTTTGTGGTCTCGGTTGCGTACCGGTGATGGTTTGTGCATCGGCTCCCTCATGGAGGCGTTGTTCCTGGGCCGCATGTCGACGTCCCTCCCAGCACCCTCACCCCCACGGCCCTGCTCTCGCTGCTCCTCGACATCCATCGGCTGCCGCACACCATCGCCGTCTCCATCCCCACCAAGTTGCAGCATTCTGTCCCTGACCGAGTCTCGCGTCAAGGGGTGCTGCATGCCGGCTCCCATATCAAGGCCGGTGGCGTGGCCCTCGCCGTTGACACGCACATCTCGGCCACGCCAACGCTCACGCTCACGGACATGCTCATCTAGCTGCGGAGGCTGCAGTTGTGGCTGTCCGGAGGGTGTTGGTCTTGGCGGAATGGCGGCAGCAGCAGCTGCTGCAGGTGCAGGTGCAGGTGGCTGTCTTGTGTCGGTGACGATGTCCCTGTTGATGGGCGTGTGGTTGGCGCCCTGCCTGCTGGCCATGCCGGCTGTGTATGTGGGCGGGGGCGAGGTGGGCAGGGGGGCGAGGGACGGCGACACACGAGAGGCTTCTGGCGCCTCGAGGGACTCAACGCCACCAAGACTGCATCAAGGCATCCAGCAGACGACAGACAAGGACATGAGTGACAGGCCTACCTTCCTTCGCATCTGGCTTGTCTTCCTTTACCCAGCATGATTCAGCATCCCTCCTCGTCGTGAGTCTCCCTCTCTCCCACGCTCGTGTGGCTGCGGACTCCCGACCACAGACGGACCGCCAGGCGAGTACTCGGGCGGTGGGCGAGACGGCAGCCGTGACGGCGTGTCACCACCCTCACCATCCTCCCCTTCCCCATTCCCATCCCCCTCGTCGTCATCATCAGGATTACTCCAGTCCTGCCGTGTCCTCCTTCCCGGCGGGTTCAGAAACGACTCCCACGCCTCTGCGGGCCCCCGTGCTGATGCCGGGTCGGGCGCCGAGGGGTCTTCAGCAATACCAGGGGTCTGCCTGGATGAGAAGGGCAGCCCCTGCTCCTTCGCTGACGACATCATGGCGTCCCCTCGAAATGCGGCCCCCTTTGGCCCCCGCTGTCGAGATTTTCGCGAGTCGATCCACGGCTCGGGATAAGCATCGGACAAGGACCGCACCCATACCACCGTGTCAGCGCCATCGCCCTCGTCAATTTAAGCCCACTTTCAGCCCCATCCGCGACCAGCATCAAGATCTACGGGCACCTCGCATCTTGGGTGGCCGCCAATTCTCCACAGCTTCGAGGCCTGGCGCCACGCTGCTGCCCGCATATGAACCGCATTGAAGAGCCCTACCAATCACCCATGGTGAAGCTCTTCAATGCGGTCTGTGAAGCCCTCCCTCGCAGTATCCCTCTGTTCGAGAAACTACCGACCGGAGATTGAGTGACCCTGGCCTCCCCTCCAGGCACCACCCGCACCAGGCTGACCACTGACGCACACTTGATAAGGTGAGGGCCAACACAGGGCAAACGGGGACATCACAATCGCATCACAATCATCGCGATTCTCCCGTCCCCCTGTGTGCAGGCAATCACTTCGCCTTGTTCCTGTCGTGTTCCTGGTCTCCGTGCGCCAGCTTGGCTGCCTCTCCTTGACCACCACTGAGTGCGCCACCACATGGTAGCCACACCATCACCACACAATCAATCCCTCCCCTGATGTGACCCCTTTTGTCCACCAATGTTACAGGTACCGTTTCGCTGATTGCCCGCCGACCAAGACGACGCCCGGCCCGCCTCCCCCGCCATACTCTGCGGCACCACAAGCGCCATCAATTCCTGCCAGCCACGCAGCAGCCTGGCCACTATGGAGGTCGACAGTCAAACGCACTCAAACTTAGACATGTGAAGGCGGCCACTTGAGGGCTCGTTGCTTCACGTGACTGATGACGGACGACTCACCCATTCGCTCGGGTACTCACACTCCGAAAAGAAGGCCAGCTCAATCGACACACATACATATACATATGTGTATACACATGGATGGATCGATACATGTGCTGCCTTTGGGTCTCCTGTGTGCATGCAGGCACTTCTGTGTACACCTGAGCGTCGCCGCCCTCTCTCCACCCTCACCCATGTCCCATGCCAAAGAGGATCCCATCGCCAAGAGGACTCGTTCCGCAGGAGCTGCCCAGCCCTCTGTCGATTTCGCACACGGCCCTGCCCGGCTGCGCGAGAGGGGCGAGGCTGCCCAGCCGTCGACCGAGCCCTCAATCTCATCCCCCGATCGACAGCCTCATTGGCCTCCAGCCAGGCGGCCTCCTCGACAACGATTCAAAGAAGGCCGTGGAACTCACAGAGGACGACCATCCATCGCACCCTTGGCCGACGGAACCTGAAACCTCTCCAGCCTCCCAGCCGACTATCGCCGCAGAGCGATTTTCGAAGGATACGACAAGAAGGTGGCGGAGACGCCCGCATGGTCGCTGTACGTGTTTTGTGGGGCCGGGATGGGTCAGATCGTCGCACTGCTGCTGGATAGTGATTGATGCTTGGAGGGTCGCACCATGCGCGGCAACGGCTACAAACGAATAGGACATGCCATACCACCACACCATCCAAAGACTGACGACACTCACCCATTCCCAATTGCCCATTCCACCCCTTGCTTGTATCATGTATGTGTGCCTGCAGAATCGACTGGTGGTCGATGAGGAGCATCCATTCATTCTACCTCCTCAAAGCCGTCAGGACGGAAAACGAGGAGGTGTGTGAAGAAAGACACAGATGAGATGCAGACAGACAGACGTCAGCTTAAGGTCTATCCATGTGTGTGGCTGTGCATCGATCTGCCTGTTGGTCATGTGCGTGTGTGTCAGTCTGCTTTGTTCCGCGAGCTGCGCAAGTGGAAGTGGAACTACGAAGAGCTCAAAGGACCGCTGGTATGCATCCCTCCCATCCAAGCACACCCACCCACCCCA